CTCCCACAGGCAGAAACACAGAGAAGACTAAATCAGGAACGTTCTTGCTTTGTAGGTGGGAAATGGGAAGGAAGAAGATGTACCTGGAGAGGTGTTGGAGGGGAAGCTACAAGGCTAATTTAAGAAAGATTACTTATTTAGAGCAGCATACAAGCACTCAGAGGTCGGCACATAGCAACATTTTAACAGTGCCTGGAGTGGAGGATAAAGCTCCTTCAAAAGAGCGTTTTCAGAACATAGAATCACAGAATCATAGAATCATAGAATCACAGAATCATAGAATCATAGAATCACAGAATCATAGAATCATAGAATCATAGAATCATAGAATCATAGAATCATAGAATGGCTTGGGTTGGAAGGGACCACCCAGTTCCAAGCCCCCTACTTTAGGCTGGTTGCCACACACCAGATCAGGCTGCCCAAGGCTCCATCTAACCTGGCCTTAAATGCCTCCAGAGAGGGGACATTCACAGCTTCTCTGGGTAACCTGCTCCAGTGCCTCACCAATAAAATCATATAATGGAAGATAGGCAGAAGCGTCAGTGAGTCAGCAGATGGAAACAGTGGGTTCCTCAGGGCTTTCCAGGTGATGGTGGATGGCTATGCTACAAGAAGAGTCACTGCTTATAAACTGTGGAATGACCTTTGATATCTGGCCACACTTCCCTGTGCCAAGTGGTCCATTCCACAGCATATATCAGACTTTTGAAAGAAGATAGCTGAAGTCCACCACTGTTGAGGGATACATGGCCCAGCATGAAGTACAACACAACTACAGCAAGGGAAGCTCAGAAGATTGTCGTGAACAAGGCAGCTGAGACATCTACAGCCTGTCAGATGGGCAGGGTTGTTGACAAAGCAGCAAAGACATGGCTGAGCCAAAGATTTGAAGTGCTAGGAGTGAAGAGAAAGACACTCAATGAAGATCGGTCTGATCTGAATGTGTCTGAGCAGCTAAAGTGCAGAGGTACCAGCATAAAGAGAGCATCTCTGAACACTGAGCTTTCCCCTTTCTCCTCCAACCTCCATGAGCACAGTTAGTTCACATGTGAAGCAGATAGGAAGCCCTTCCAGCTGTCAGCTTGGCATGTTCACAGCAAAACTGAAACTGGTGGGGCTTCTAAATTCTGGAAAATCCTCACACTTCTTTAAAAAAATAGAAAAGACCCTTTTGTAGCTGAGCAATGTGGGAAGAACTCTGAGGATGTCCATTGTTTCAGCTATCCTTATAACTAGGTAAAAATACTAATGGCCTGAATGCATATGTTTGTGGAGATGGTCAGTGTCATCACCTTGCTGATGTTAAAAGGACCCAGGAAGGGACAGTGATGCAATACTGCATCCAGCAGACTCTGGTATGATTAATATTGCAATTATGAGAGGGCTTTATGATCTAGATTAGAGCTGCAGGGGCAGTAAGGCCAGGAGATGCTTGCACGTTATCAATACAGTAATAATTATGTAATTGTGTCCCAGAACTATGCTGTCATTAAAGAGGACTCTGAGATACAGAAAATCCAGCACCAGTTGAAATTCAAAGAAAATAATTTGGCTAAAGTCCCTCTCATTGGTAACCTATTTTTCTGACTACTGAGGGAAGACAGTGATGATTTTCCTGCTCTGCTCGTTTAAGGATCACCTCCAAAATAATGCCCTTTATGAAACATTTCAATCAGGTTTCAGACCTTATCATAATGCAGAGGCAGCTTTTCTCAGGGTCAGCAACAATTTACATATGTATGGTGTGCTGATCGCAACTTACAGTCAGCTATTTTATTTTTGGATTTCTCATCTACTTTTCACAGGACAGACCATACAGTCTTGAGCTCAGCCTGGTGAGAAGTGACTGCACAACTTCCAGCAAGGCTTTTGGTGGGTTCAGCCCTTGCATTACCGCTTCCACCAACAGATTTAGCAAACAAGATGTTTTGGGTGCTGTTGTTTTTTTGCCTCCTCCCACTGCTTTGCCTGCCAATTTCCTGAAAATCTAAGCTTTGGGTTCATGCTTCAGTAGAGATAGTATCTTTTGTATTGGCAGTTAAACAGCAGTAGGACTGAGCTGTGTGTGAAGTTCAGCTGTGTGTCTCAGACCATTGACAGAGGCTAATGGTAGCGCTGAAATCCTCTCTTTCCAACCTAAAGCAATGCATTCATTGAATCTTTCACTTAAACGCTGTAGAAATGGGGCTGAATTTTCCTCTTGGCTTGCTCACTTTTCTATTGCTCTTGTGCTTTTTTTCTTGGTTTTTTTTTTCACAGTTCAGATGGAAAAAAGACACTAGCACTGAAGCATGGGCTCCTGCTCAGTCATTTCTGTGTTTTTAAGGAATGTCTTCTACTATCAGTGACATAAGCATGACTGAAAACAGCCCAGAACCCCAAGAGCCTTGCCTATGCCTGAACACATTCACCAACAGGCTGCATGATAAAGACATTTTTTGACCCATGAAGCTTGAATTTTTGAAATGTAGATATTTTCAAGCCATTCACCCAGTGTGCAGGGATACTTATCCCTGAACTCCAGGGAAGGAACTTGGCTCCTGCTAAGGACTTTAACTGTGCTACTGTCGCTGTCTTTAGGAGAAAATAACCATAAACTGCTTTATTTTTGAGGGACTGGGTCATGTCAGTGTGAGCTATGAATGATCAGTCTTGTGGACAAGGAACCGAAAGCACAGGACAGTGCTTGTTGGCACGAGTAGGGCTGGGACAAATATTTCCTATAATGATGGCTTTGCTGTATTGGGATCTTTGCTATATCTTTTGTCTCATTTACTACTCTATGAAAAGTTGATGATGACTGTGAAAGGCACTTTAGATTTAAAAGTTCAGGAGTGGGGTTTTTTCGCCTGATGCAACAAAAAGATACGTGATGGAAAAGTTTTCCCTCAGAAAGGCTCATATTTGGGACATTTTAAGTGATATCTAGAAATGCATGTTTTATATGGCCCAATGTACACCACCTCTGATTAATCCCATTAACTCCAAGATGTTATCTAAACACATGCTTAAGTATCTTGTCAAAACTAGGACTGTGGTGCTCTGCTTCTTTGCTCATAAAGCTAAAGTGGTTTAAGGGAAGGTTACCTGAGCTCCTTGAATCCTTTTGGAAAACATCAGCCTCGCTCTCCCTTCCGATCCTTATTCATCTGTATCAGGATAGCACCTCAGGGCTTCAGCTATGACTGAAGTCTCTCCTGCTCACCTAAATCCAAATAGGAGAATCCTGCTTTGAAGAGATTAAGGCCTAATTGAAAATGGGGTAGAGAAAATGCTGCAGAGAAAGAAAGAAAGAAAGAGGATGAAGTTGCACAGAGAGGATGAGGAGAACACATGTGGCTTAGCAGAGCCATTAGCTGTATGTAAAAAATCCATAGCAAACAAGTATAAATAGTATAAAAGCTCATGGATCTGTTACAGCTTTTTCTTTTCTTTCAATGTGTTCCAGTTTTTCAAGAGGTGTTGAAGTGAGGTTTGGAGGATGGAATAGGTTGAAATTTTGAAGAGCAGAATGTTGTTGATCTTTTTTTTTTTCCCTTTCATCTTTTTAACACCTCTCCAGGTGTCTAGGATTTCTGAAAAAATAAGTCAGTAGGACAGTAAATTCATGGGTAAAGCTCCCTTTGATCACCTTGGAATGAATTTCTGCAGATATTCCCTCAAGTCTCCCGTCCACTTCCCACAGATTTGACTGCAAATAGACTGTAGGAAGTCAGAATAATCTGCCAAAACTCTTCTTGTTTTCCTCTTTTTTTTTTTCTTTCTTTTTTTTTTTGTGTGTGTGTATTTCAGTAAACACAACTCTTTAGGGATAACATCTGCTTCCCAAAGAAGACTTCCATTTCAGGAGAAAAGCACTAATATTTATAGGCAAATTCCCTTTCCCTTCCCATTTCCTTTCCTTTTTCAGTCCCTTTTTCCTCCTTTGCTCTTCCTTGCCTTGTCTTCCCTTCAAGACTTTTTCTTCTGCTCTCCTTGTGGAGTTGCTGTTGTTGCCCACTACCCGTAACTCCATCCTTAGGTGAGATTTAGCTGGCAAATGAAGCAATGCAGAAGAGAGCACGGGTCCACTGCCCTCTATCACAATGGAATAAAAGATGTTGTTCATTGTTACACAGCCTCTCCGATAAATAGTTTGGGATCTATAATTCTTCCCTTCTTTTAAATGGGTAACAGTTGTTTTCTGTGCACTTTTTTTACAAACTATGTTTTTAAGGTAGGTTATTATGCCTGTGTTCATCTAAGTGCCTGAATCTCAGCTAGTCTCCCTTAGCTCCCTCTGCAGACAGTGGAGATCTAGTCCAGGGAGACAGTGATTCATTTCATCCAAATTTAGATACTTAAAGTGGATGAGAGAATTGTGCCTTAGGTGCCTGTTTGTCTCCATTGAGACATGTGGGAATGACTGGCAGAGTGACTAACTCACCTGCAGCCATCCATTTACAAGTATCTGAAGTTTGGAGAGACAGACCCTGCCTTCTCTGATTGATTTCTGAGTTTTAATTTTGATTCCATCTGGTTTTGTGATACTTCATTCATTCTTTGTTAGCTTATGAACCTACATTCTGTCTTCTGATGCTGTGAGATGGGCCTTGGAGGATTGGGTTTAATTACTACAAAAATTGCAAATATTTACATTTCTACTAGTGTATACTGGCAGGTGTGCCTTTTCTTGTGGAAATACATCATTGCATTTGTGATAGAGACATCAAAAAATCTGTTTCCTATCCAAGTGGTTTTATTTATATCAACTATTGAGAAAACAATCATTTACTGGAGAAATAGTTTCTATTAATATTCATTATCATATGCCTTGAGAACCCATACACGAAATGTAATCACAGCCTCTGTTAGTCCTGTAATTTGTGCACCTGACATGCAGTTATTTGAGAACGCATTGGCACTAGTATTGACAGAAACTACATTTGTATTGTTGCACAGCAAGTGGGAAAAAAAGGATAAAAATGGTGGAATAATATGCAATATTTTCATTGCAGCCTAAGGGATACCCAGATCTGTTTGCAATAATGGAGAGCTGCAAGAGCTTTATTTGGACACTGGAGGAAGAAGAAATGTGCTGGTGAGGTATGTAGACACTGAAGGGCTTGATGGAAGCTGAGAAATGTTGGAAGATTTTACTTCGAGTTTGGAAATGAAGTTTGGAAAATGAACATGAAAATGTGTTAGTTTGTTATGGTTCTGTTGGGGATGGAGGGAAGGTGGAGTGATGGCTAGCTTGAGCAATTGATTTCGTGTAATAGCACATTGGAAACTTTAGTAGCAGATACAAAAAGGAGGAGAAGGACTTCAGGGTGAGATTCATCTCTCTTAACTTCAGGGATAGGATCCATCTCACTGAAATGTAGGCGTATAGAGAGTGATTCACTGACCAAACGTAGGAGTCTGCTTTACAGTGAGACACATTGCTTCCTGGGCTCTGCCGACCATGTTGACTAGATCCCCAGCGCCGGCAGTGGGAGTGCAGACTTCCAGCTCACATGTAGACTCTTGCATTGCACCGTCCCACACTACCTCCTACCCAGACTGGCTTGAGAGATGGGATTCACTTCGTCTAATTTCAGATATCTCCATGGCTCACTTCTACATCAAGCTGGTCACCCTGGGCTCCCTGTGCAGTCAATGGAGAGAGACAGGTATTTTTAGGGAATGAGTCATGACGATGCAGATCTCCTCTTCCCAAATGTTGAACAACAAAACCAAACCCCCTGTTGCTTTCTCCCCTGATCCCATAATTCCTGTACACTTGTCTGTTTTTAGAAGAAGGAAAATGAGGGCCCATCACCTCAGTTTTGCTGTAACCTGAAGAACAGGGATCTGCAGGCTTAACTTTGCAGTGGAAAACATGGAAGCCGTGTTTTCTCCCACCTGCCTTTTCCCATCAGCTCGGTTCCTCTATGTCCAGCTCTGTGAAAACAGCCCAAGGGGTGACATCACTGCAAACCCTTCCACGGCCCTAATTTAGGCACCAAAAGCTGCAGCCAGATGCAATGTCAAACACTCATCTGTGATGCCCTATTCAGCCCACTCAGAGCATGGAGAACCTCTGGGCTCAATCTGGTTGATGTTGGACCCAGCCCTGTGCAGTGGCTTCCATGAAACTTGTCTGTGTGCACCTCTGTTGTGGGCACACGTGTATTTTCTGAGACTTGGAGCTCATCTGGGTCCCACTCTTGCTGAAATTATTACTTCAACAAAGTATTTGCCGGAGGGAATTGTATGGAAAAACTTATTGTGATTTGGGCTTTATTTCCGTAGAGTTATTAATTTAGGGAAAAGCTGCTTTTACCTGTTCTCAGCTTCTAAGATCTTGTGCCAACAGTGCTCCCAGTTGTGAGACCAATAAAAATGAAAACAAAACCCATCACTTTGTATATCGCTTCTCTCCTTCACCCAATTCATAAGGTCCCAAGGTGCCTTGCAAAGTGCACATAATTATGCACAGAAGAGACATTTAGCCATCATTCAAAGGATGGTGACTATTCAGCAGCCAGCTGGACTGTTAAACTGCTGTTTTGGAAGGGAAGTGAAGAAAATTACTAAATGCCAGGGAAAACTGGGGAAGAAATTTAGATAAGTGGGATGTAATTACCTGAGCAGTGACTGAGCCAGGATACTGGAGCAACATATCTTATTGTTTGGGTTTGCAGATGCCATCAAATCTTCCTGGATCAGGACTCTGGGCTTTTGGCATGCATGAGAGGGGTCAGTTCTCTTTGAGCAACGGCTGTATTGGTGGGCTATGGTCTGAACTGACACCACCAAAATGATTCCTTGTAGGATTGCAGCCCTTGTTAGCACCCCCAGCCCAAATTTGCTTAGTCCTAATAGAATTTTGGAATCCCTTCTTCTGAACAAGCAGCTGTTGATTTAGCACCAAGCCACAGTTTTTCCAAGTGCAAAACACAGAATGTAACAAGCTGCACATTTGTCTCTCCATGGAAAGATGCAATCCAAAGCCACTGGAGATGGGAAGAGCTTATTCAGCACTCTCGCTGAGCTCCATTAATCCACATATTTAATACAAACACAACAGTAGAACTAATTCTGGCTCTGATGTAGAAAGCAGATGTAAAGGTTGTATGTCAGAAAATCCAGCTTTTCATATTACCCGTCGTTTGTGGTTTGGATGTTAATACGGTTGTCAGACCTCTTAGGATTATCTACCTGTCAAGAAGAGAAAAGTAGCAGTGCTTTCTGTTAGGCAAATGTTAAACCACATAAATGGAGTTAGTCCATTGCCAGCGGCCTTAGAGGATTGTCTAAAGATCCAATGTGCTTATCCTGTTGTAGAACTAAAACTTGTTTAGTTAAGTGAATCTAATTATTTTGATTATGGATGGAGAGGAAGATCATCAAAGGTGGCTCCATTTTGTGTTTTGGTTTCTGATGCTCAGCGAGGTTATACCAGAGGAGGCCAACATTCAGAGGCTGGCAGTGTACCCAGGAGCTCACCCCCACTGAGTACTTCATAGGCTCAAAATCTCATGCAGATATCTGAAGAAAAAGAGCCAGAAATGAGTAGCAAATACCTATAAATTTATTTCCCATCCTTTGGGACCTGACCTCTTGAATTTTTGGTGTGCCTCAAAGCATAAGTCTTTGCTGCAACAGATTTCTATTTGCCCTGGAAGCAAAAACGTGGGAGCAAGACGTAGAAGAAAAGTGTAGAGATTTGTCTACCAGGGGCAAAGCTGGGGCTAGTAGCTGAGAGATGATGGGATGAAAAATACAGCTGGTGATTTCAAGGGCACGGAGTTTTCCTGAAAAAATCAGTCAGAAAGCTCTTCCTCTGGCTCAGTCCTAGCCAAAATCTGTGAAATGCTCTTCATGCAGAGGCAGCCACCATTGCCTGGGCTGGCTGGGGCAATAGATGAGTCCCTGTGCTCTGTAGCACGCTCCTCTGCTCCTGGGAAAGCCAGAGAAAACAAAAAGCAGCATTACCATAAGGTAAAAATTCTAGTGGGGGAGGGATATTTAATGCTGGTTCTTGTGATCTTTACCATCTGTAGAACAGATGGAGCTTCATTATGAGGAAGGGAACACCTTGAGAAGCATTATAATCTCACACCAGCCTGGAGAGAAGCAAAACCTGACTGTAGTTGAGATCTTGGGGAGGATTTTGACTTGTTTTTATGAAGGTTTAAGGAGCAGGCTCCTTAAAGAGGCTAATGAATCGTTGGCCAAAAAAAAAAAAAAAAAGCAGCCATTAATTTTGTTAGCATCTGAGACAAGAAGAGCAGGAAAAGCTTTATTTAGATTTCTGTCTGAAATAGCAAAGTATGTATTTTTATAATCGTTGTGCTCGCATCTCAGAGCTGAAGTCAGCTGGGTGGTTTTTGTTTGCAGGGTTTGGTGCAAAGGCTTTTATTTTTGTTTGTTTAACCTTTGTGTCAGCACCCTTGATCTGCCCTTTGGAGCATCTCCGAATCTGGCATTCTCACAAATCCCTAACTCACAGCAAATCTTAACTCTGCCCTCTGTGTTCTTCCTGCATTGGCATGCAAATAACAAGGAAATTGCAGGATTCATCCAGCTCATGAGAGGTGGATGCAGAACAGATCTGCAGGGAGGCTGTGCAGGCATTCCTGCCTCACACAGAGGGAAGGATCCTGCTGCAACAAGCCTTGTAATGGGGGACTGGCAGCCCCTTACCCCCTGGCAAGTCTGCACCTGGCTTCTGCACTGTAAAGACATAAATCAGCTGCAGGACACACCACAGGCCCTTGGGTTCCTCCACCCTCTTGATAAAACAACAAAATCCAGCTGAGCTTCAAGTGTGAAATGAAATCCAGGTGAGTTGAAGGGCTGCAGAGACAACAGCATGAAGTTCCAGATCCCTAAAAAGGTGATGAAATGAAGCTTTGGGAAAGCAGCCTTTGCACTTGATGATTTCCTAAGATTCCCTTTGGGTGGTTCACAGATATTCCTAAACCCCAAAACTGGTGCCATTTGCATAGCTTGGTATGTTCTTCTTGCTGTTGTATATTTGCTTTGTTTTCTGAGAAGCTGTTTATGGTTCACTAGATACAAAGCAAGGGACTGGGCATCAGGAGCCCAGCTATGGGCTTTCTTTGGCTTCTCCCTGTGACTCAGTTCCTTACCATTCTTTAGCTCTCCTGTCTCTTCCTCTGTGTTTATGCATTGCCTACCACAACAGGGCTTGGGGCTCAGCACAGCCTCTAGGAAGCAGCACCACAATACAATAAAGACATGCTCCTTTCAAAACTCTCCCACCTCCGTGAATAGATGTGAGCTTGGTTCTGATCCAAGCAACCTTATCCGCATAGTACAGAAAGAACCTGTCATGGTGTGAAATACTGAACTCTGCCTCTATTTGGAGGAAAGCCACAATTTATCAAACTAGCACCACTAGGAGCAGATCAGTCTGCCTACCTAAATCCTCCTTGCTAGCTAATAGCAAGGCAGGGAGTTTTGTTTCATATTTTTTATTTTTTAAAACTGAGATGATCATTTATTCAAAGTATAATGACTGCAATAGATGGGACTTGTAACAGATTCAGAATTAACATAATGATATTTGATAATAATCATAACATTTCATAATATTGATTGCAAGAGAAAACTGACAGCACAAGAATATACCAGCTGTCTGTACGTGTAGCATCTCCCAGCTTTTAACTTTTTGTCTCCCAAAGAAAGTTATCAATCGAGAACTTTGTTTATTCAAGTTAGTTCATTTATGCAGAGGGAAAGAGAGATGGCAAAATTTCAAGTATTTAAGTGGGAAGGGAAAGGGATTAAGACCACAGTCCTGGCCCAGACCAAAGAATCATAGAATGGCTTGAGTTGAAAGATCAAGATGTCAAGATGTCAAGATGCCAAGATGTATTTCCTGGTCTTCCTGCCTCCTGCATGTCCAAGCACCAGCTTTCTGAAGAGGAAGGCTGGATTCAGACCCCCTAGGATGTATGTTGGGATCCCACAGGCTCTGAGTTTCTGTACCCAACCTCATGGGTGGCTGCCAGTGAGGTCATGGATGTCCTCACCCCAGAGATGTTCAAGACCAGGCTGGATGAGACTTTGAGCAACCTGGTCTAGTCGGAGGTGTCCCTGCCTATAGCAGAGGCTCAGAACTAGATGATCTTAAATGTTCCTTCTAAACCAAGCCATTCTATGATTTTGTGATCCTATGATTGTGGGCCTGTGTGGATACAGGCATTGGACTCAATGATCCTTATAGGTCCCTTCCAAATCAGGATATTCTATAATTCTTTGATTCGTTTTTACCATGGATTTCTGCAGATGCCAGGTAGGGATCTACGTTTTCAGGTTCTCAGCAGCTTGTGAAAATGTACATGCATAAAAAAAAAACATTCTGAATCACTGATTACATCCAGTGAAGGGCCACAAGGATGATGGGAGCCTGGAGCATTTGTGTTGTGGGAAATCACTGCCACTCCTATCATGACACTGAGGTAGAAGTACTTCCCAGTGCTGAGAAACAACTCTCTGTGAGCAGAGACATATGTGTATCAGAGAGCTCCTTGGAGCTGTCAGCCCCTTGTTTTAACAGTTTGCCTACATTCTGTCATAAGTTACATTGCAACCTGGAAATTATCAATGAAGAGTTAGTTATGCTCATGAAACATAAGGATGTTGTGGCAACATCTGTGGTTGGCACTTACTACCATATGATGGAGTTTAACAGTGATGTGAAATTGGGTTGAAATGCATTATCTGGGAGAGAGAATGGGAAGAAAGGAGGGGGAGAGAGTCTGTTGACTTAAGAATCCCTCCAAAGAGCATGGGATAAGAAAATAAGAAGGCTGGTGGAACAGTCAGTCCCTGTTTGGCTAGCTGGCTGCAGATTGAAAAGAACAAATATTTACCTGTACTCCCAATGCAGAGGAACTGCTGGATCTCTGGCTGATTGGGAGGAAAACAATTCTGAGTGCTGTTAAAATAACTTAATGCTTAATGCATAATGCAGTTTTTCAGCCCATACTCTAGTATTCAGCTACACCTATGCTGGGGAAAACTGTTTGTCATTGTAATTATTTCCCTCCTTGGAGAAAGGTGAGCTGGGGAAGAAGATACACGTGGGGATGCTTGGCTTCTTGGGCTCGTAGATGTAAAACCAGAACTGCATCAAGCACTGTGGGTGAAAGAAGAACAAAGCTCAAAAGACATGTAGTGCTTTAGCTCGTTGTGTTCTGGCCTTTCAGAGCCTTGGTGAAATCCTGAAGCTTTCACCTAATGTTGATTTGTCCTTGCTCAAGGAAAACATTCTGTTATTGCGGTGGATAAGTTGCCAGAGGAAATTCTTAAGGATTTGTCTGATAATGAAAAGATGATCGGAATGGCTGTGTAAAAAGCCTAAAATGGTGAGAAAGTAGCTTCAGAGTGGTTTGAGAATAATACATTCATTTCTGTGTGTGTGCAGCTC